TATACATTGCCAAAAATTGGCAGAATGCAAATGAGAATTCAGTGAATTATGAAGCGCTGGGCGATAACTGATATCAATGCGGCCCTTTAGAGACCCCAACATACCTGTAGACTGGAGACGTCCGCATTCAACTTTAGTACAAAAAACACTACAAGGTTGAAAGTGAAACACTGCCGAGGCAACTCATATCTGGCGACATGCCAAGTTACGCGGAGCACGTAGAGGCAAAGATAAAACATTCATCCACACGCGTGACAGCAGAGACCCCTATCGGGCGCAATCGACTTCTGAAAAAGATCTTAGTCGGAAGGTCACCCATTCCATCCACTTCGCAAATCTTCTAAATCAACCTGCGAGAACAAGCGTACCTTAACCCAAGCCTCGGTGGAATACGTTGGATTCCGGTTAACTGCGACACATCGACCCATTAACCGGAATCTATTGTATATAGATACATTTACCATACTCGTGTACCGGCCTGGTGGTAAAATCACATTTATGATCTCTCGTACTAAGACAAAATCCTCCTAGGCACTGATTTATAAACAGATTAACATTTCCTGAAGAATAGTTTCAGAAACACCTCATATTTTACATCTAGAAACTGCAAAGAAATTAAGCATTTCAGTGTCTGTCTCCCAAACATACTATATATGCAAAAACTGCAGTCAAATTTCTCTTTTTTATTTGCATTTAAGATATGTTACTAAATTACACTTGTCTCGGTAACTCGTAGAGTGTTTCAGGAGTTGGCTCTACTCGCATTAACAGGTGACTTTTTTGTCATTGACTCCTCCACATCAGGACAAAAGTTGCACTCAAACGTTCACTTCTTTAAATACATTTCTGCAATGCAAAAAATTCAGTACCATTAACACAATTTTTGTTTTCTAGTCAATGATTGCAGTAATGATCAGTGGCATCTTGACAAAACTTCTTTGTTACGATGAAGCAAGTCATATCAGAGTCTACTTAGGATGACAATTTCTAACAATTTTATCCAATGTGAAGATAGGAATTTATCAGCAACAGTTATACTTATCTTGTACCTGCATATTATCCGTGGTTGCAAACTAAACCGTATATTATGAATATGCACTCCATCATATCCTGCTCCATGTCATGCACACATGAATCTACAAGTAAAGCGGACCATCATAACTTCTATGCAAACTAAACAGTATATTATGAATATGCACTCTATCATATCCTGCTCCATGCCATGCACACATGAATCTACAAGTAAAGCATAGAAACTGCAAAGTAATTAAGCCTTTCAGTGTCTGTCTCCCAAACATACTATATATGCAAAAACTGCAGTCAAACTTCCTTTTTTATTTGCATTCAGGATATGTTACTAAATTACACTTGTCTCGGTGACTCGTAGAGTGTTTCAGGAGTTGGATCTACTCGCATTAACAGGTGACCGGTTTGTCATTGACTCCTCCACATCAGGACAAAAGTTGCACTCTAACATTCACTTCTTTAAATACATTTCTGCAATGCAAAAAATTCACTACCATTAATACAATTTTCTTTTCTAGTCAATGATTGCAGTAATGATCAGTGACATCTTGACAAAACTTCTTTGTTACGATGAAGCAAGTCATATCAGAGTCTACTTAGGATGACAATTTCTAACAATTTTATCCAATGTGAAGATAGGAATTTATCAGCAACAGTTATACTTATCTTGTACCTGCATATTATCCGTGGTTGCAAACTAAACAGTATATTATGAATATGCACTCTATCATATCCTGCTCCATGCCATGCACACATGAATCTACAAGTAAAGCGGACCATCATAACTTCTATTAAAAACATCAGCTACATATGCATTCCATTACTGGTGACTTATGATAATGTACCCTCATGGATCCTAGTCAAACCTTACCATACCATACATTATCCATCCAAGACACCACCATGTCCCTCACATCTATACCTACACACAATTACCAATGTTATACCCGATTCATCCATGGCACTACCACTTCCTTGTTGGAAATGGTGTTATTTGGGAAGAAACAGGTTTAATTAGGGAAGAATGAGAAGACTTTTCTGGAGATGATTAGCGGGATTTCTTGGCAATTTCAAGAGTTGCAGAAGCTTAATTATTCTGAAATGCACTGGTACCTTCATTACCATAACACAATATTTGCCTTAGAATGCAAAACGAACTTATAAATGTGCATGTGCTTTGGTTGGAAAACCTCATGAAAATAGGAAATCTGGTAGATCAAGACATATATATAGGAACACAGTATAAAAAATTCTGAGAAGCAAAATGTGCAATAAAGTTCAAATCGGAGTTACAGTGAATGTAGTATAAATAGCATTACAAGTCCCCAATACAATATATATTTTTTCTTAATTTCCATAAATTATACTACACCTATTTAAGTACAGGCAGGACTTGAACCAACGATGATGTGGAGCTAGGAAACATTACACACACACTTTATGAAAAGCCTTAAATTATTGTTACTCTGTACTTAGTATTATTTTTCTGTTTGTGTACTCTCTCAGGGGGTTGTCTGAATTCTGACACACGGGCAGACAGATTCCTGACTACATCACCTGCAACCAAATCTTCTACTTGCTCTAAGGCAAGTACTGGAAACTACTCTGCGCAATACATCACTACCAGAAGAATGACAGATGGGCATCATTCCACTTAATCTCTCTGAAACTACAAAGAATATGATGTTTCTAGAGTTAATGTTTCAGTCTCCAGAAGAAATCAGTTAATAATTTTTCCAGGTAGTGGCGCTATCTTGGTTAACAAAAGCACTCTTCAAACACTAAACACAGGTAGTCACATCTGCAGGTTACGACGTGCACATCAGAGTACTACGAAACGTACATCTTCATTACCTGACCGACAAAATATGGACCGGGTTACTTTTTTTTACGATCGTTATTGCCGACATCGCGCTCGCGCATACGAAATTATGATTCAAAAAATAAAGTCAAAAAGAAATTCTGTGCTGCGCTCTAGGATAGACACTTTCATTCTCTTATTTACAGTAAGAAGTTCTCTTTTTTGCAATGTAAAATGGACAATACATAATTTACATAGATTCTTCATCAGTCTGGAGGTAATTACTCAAGAGTGAAGCCGAGCAAGTGCGCGCATTAGTGTGACTAGATGGCTGATGTGTCGTGCATCGAATGCAAGATTTTACTGCTATATCTGACAGGAGGAAAGCAGCAGTCCACAATCTTCTGGAAGGAAACATAAATAGTCACTGGTAGCCACGCCTCATCCAGGCTCTTATTACGCTCGTTACCTGCTGCCCGTCAAATAGACATAGACATGATTTTTCAGGTTCCATTTCTCACTAGCAACACACTGTCATTGCAATTATGAATCCTGGCAGATGGAAGAGCCGGTTGTGGTCCTTGACTGTCATGGACTCATTTGCAAATGGGTGAGCTGAGCACGGGCTTGACTGTCATTGAGATGGCCTTTCCACGGCATAGTCTGGCCATGGCTTGGGCTAGTATGCCACTAGCAGGGCATATGCAGGCATCTACATACCCATTATAACAGGCTTGTATTGAAGCCTCTATACAGCAATTTCATGCCTTGGTATGGGGGTCTCTATCTAGCCATTACAATGAACTCATGGAAACCTCTATGTAGTCATTACAACTGGTTGGTATGTAAGCCTCAATCAACTGACATCCCACAGAAAATATTTTAGATTGAGAATATTGTGGAATAAATATCGATAAAAATCAGGACTTCACAGCATCCCATTAAACTTTATTGCAATTCTGTAGTGAACTAAAATAACAATGTACCAGAAAAATATCAGACAGACAGGAGACACACATTTCACATGCAAAGTTCTGTTGCTGGTCACCCATAGCTTTGCGCCAACTTAATTGGAATTCATGAATACTGGCACCCACTGTTTCAGCAGATTTGTCTTTCTGAACAATAACAAGTAATGTACCGTAATCACAAGTTGATAGTATCGGAATGTCCACGAATCCGTCGGGCTAACTGCATATCGTTGGCCATGAGTGTGACACGTCTCGCATGAACAGAACACAACATCGCGTCTTCAAAATACTGAACCATATACATTTCAGCAGCCTCTTGGAGTGCTTCAAGAGCCAGTGCTTGAATCCTGACAAAATGAGAAACAAATATTTTCTTTTTAGCACACAGCAAAGTCAGTTTCATCCATGATTATTGCTTTCAGATAAATCTGCTGCAATGCAGAGTAGACACTTAACACTCCTACTTTCCATCACCATGGCTGCACAGTCAGTCTACTCTTGGCTACAGTGCTGTTAACATTACCCAGAAGTTCAAATGCCTGTGATGTTATTTAATTTTGCCTTCTAGTTTGGCAGTGCTATTCTGATGACTGCACTATGCTATTCACTACCTACATCCCAGTGCTGCCAATTTCTCAGAAGCACAAAAGAAAAGGTTCAACATATGACATATCTAAATGATGTTACCAGTACTGTGATTACAGACATACTATGTCACTGCTTCCCAAACATTTTCCTTCATTACCCAAAACCGCTTATCAGAAAGTCCTTTTTACCCAATGTAGGTAAAACGCAAACTGCACAGAAACATATGACAAGTAAAAATTAGGATTTGAAAATTCATTATATTATTTTATATAAACCAAGAATAATATAATGAAGATTACCTCTTCCAATTGTGTACGGTACGATTTATAAACGCGGCCGGCGGGATGTGTACCTCACACCGCCATGGCTAGCAACACACTGCACCCAAAGTTTAGACTATACAACTAGACTCACTAACTTTAGTTTAGGGGAGCGGTACGTGTAGACGTATTTTTTCAATTATCCACGTGCATGCGAGCGTGGCAAAAATGATTGAATGTAATAACGAGCGTATGGCGTATTTATCAAATAGCAAATAAATACTTGTTAGACTGTTTTAGAGCATCGGTGCACGATGACTGATCGCTTTCTTCAGAGTACTTCTTCTACACTTCTACGGTAAATTTTAATGTGTATTCCGAGGTGTGTCGTTAGCCAAAGAAAAACCACTTTTACCCCCTTTGGGGTACTTTACCCAGGTTTGGAAACCACTGTACTATGTGGTGACTATGTCCTCATCTGTAAACAGCAAAAACCCTCCACTTGAGTATGTGTCAGTGATGGCACCAACTTAAATGGTAGATTCATGACTGATAATCCTATGGCAGTATTAAATATTCTTCTTATGGTCACAATCCTCCTCTGCATCAATGCGAGTTGTTTTCATACATGTTGCAGCAGACTTTCCTGGCTCAGGCTACACATTAAGGGAACTGAGCTGCATTCTTGTAAAAAACAGACGATGGAAAAAGTCCTGACACCGAATAATTTTAAGTGCATTCTTGTAGCTATATAACAATCTTAAACAACTAATGGGTCAAATGTTAAAGCTTCAGTCACTACCACTATTGCAACCAAAAGCAAATCTTACAGTCAGCTAATGCTCTACCTTTGATCCATCAACATGCAAATAAGCCAGAATTTATCAATAACCACAACAAGATGATTATCTACATGTGACACGCACCCCATTCATCATTTACACCAGTGGTACTCAACCTTCTTTGTTCGCGTACCCCCAGATATAATTTCTCTTCAACTTTGTACCCCCAAAGTTGTTGGTGTATAATTCAAGTTATACATATAATCTACATCTAAAATAAATTAAATAAAATACATTACTGATCAATCAGTGTTTATCTTTCTTTTCTTTTTTTAATTTCGCATACCCCAGGTTGAATACCACTGATTTAGAGAACATAATCCTCCCCCCCAGACACACATACAGTTCCACACCATGGATGGTGACGTGCCTCTAAATGCACATACAGGAAGGTATTCAAGAAGTCAGGAATTGGATTAGACCCTCATGCAGCCTTCAGACTGGACTTTTGATATCTGTCCCACTGATCAAATAAGTTGGCTGGTTTAGGAAATAACAATTCTGGTGCATTCACGCTGTTATCTTCAATTTGTAAATGACAACTTTAGACGCTGCCTTATAAATGACAAACAAGGGCCTCCAACACAAAGTACAAATGTTCATCATAGTTAGTCTGATAGTTCTTGAGTAATAAGATGGCATAGCATTAAAACTGATTTTGTTTAATTATCTCAAAGACCATAAAGACTTGCAGAAAAAAGTGTACTGGGCATAAAATGTGTCCTTCATTTCAATAATTCTAAAATGGCCATTACTATTGCCTAATTTCACCCAAAATTGAAATGTGTCAACAAATTTTCAGTGAAACTCCCCAATATCAAAATCTATGAACATTAGTACAGCAATTCTCAAGTCATTGCATGCAGACAGACATAATGATGCTAACAGGCACATTTTTGCAAATTTGTTGTGATAACAAAAGTGAAGTTCAATGGCACCTCTCCTCTCGGTTTTTCTCCGTTATGTGACGATGTTTATCTGCTGCTAGGGCTAGGTTGGCCAGAGCTGAATTTCCTACTACGATTATTCAGGCTCAATGTCGCATAGTTACATACTTAAGAACGTGCTGTGACAAGATATGACATCCACACCTACAGTATCATAGAAATTCAGAGACAAAATCTGAAGGCAATTAGACACACAAAATAATGATGAAAATTTCTGTTTGACAGTTAATCCCACACATAAGGGGATATCTACCAACAGGGTAGTTCATTGCCCTGCTGGTGGAGATACCAAGCTCCTCTGAAACATCAATAAATGTATACCAGACTACAAAATGCTACATCCCAGAAGACTGCCATCTTGATAAACTTTGACTATATTAAATTCTCGTACAGAGAGGGTTTATGATTGTCGCTGTAGTCATCTGGGTTGTGATGTCTTGTAGGCAGCTACCAACATTTCAGAGGGACATATCACCTTCATCTTCAGAAAAATGTTTTCAACCCCAAAGATAGAGGTGACACATTCCTAAAAAATGTTGGTAGCCACCCACATGACATCACAACCCAGAAGATATCCTCACTGGCACAAGGACTAAAAATGTCAGGGGTTATGATGAGCTGCTACAAACCAAGAGAATAGTTTTAGTGTGGACCCTTAATATCAAGTTGAACAGTTTGTGGTGTTAAAAATGCACACACACTGACACACAATTTCCCAGTTAAGCATTCCTTTCACACGAGCACTTCATTAAAAGAATGAATGAAAAAGATTAAATTAGGTCCGAATGTAACAAAAACACATAATTACCTGTAGTTTTCAGGAATGAAAGCCATAATAATTTCTTTTACCACTCTTGCAAATGCCAACTTTGGTATAAGCAAATGTGTGCTCTTCTGAAATTTTCTTATTTCCATAAGAGCCCGTACACCGGGACGAAAGCGTCGTTTTGGTGTTCTTGCCGTATTTGTCTGGAGAAAAACAATATGTGTTTAAACAAAATGTCTTAAACAACAATTTTAAGTAGTTTTACAATACATTTCAAAATTGTTAATATCCTTTGATTTCGTGTCTTTATAAATACCAGAACAAAATTTAATAATCGAAGTGGTAACTTAACTCCAAAACAGCATGCTACCACATGACACTTCAACCAACACTCTTACAAGCTAAACCTATTTTGCAGTTACTGCAACAAGTGAAAATGTGAATAAAGTTGAATAAGCGTATTACATGGAGAAGTATGGCCCTCACAACATTATTGAACAAAATGCTCAGCCACACAATATACTTCAAACCTAAAACAAATTATTACACTCTTAAATAAAACAATTCACTTTCACCTAGCCTTACATCATACACACCACACACTTATTCTTTCTGCTGTTTTGCTCTTACTATATTAGATGCCAACAAAAGGATCATTAGAATAATGGCAGGCACTAAAAGGAGAGCTTCTTGTAGGGAATTATTTAACAAGTTTAATATCCTTCCACTACCCAGTGAATAATTTGCTCTCACTATTATCATTTGTAGTGGATAACATGGAAAAACTTCAAAACAAATTCAGATATCCACAATATAAGAACAAGATACAGATACAACCTTCATGTGCCAAATTCTAACCTCACTATACTAGAATTAAGTTATTCAATAATCTTCCACCTACTATCAAAAGTTTAAATCGTGATATAAAAATGTTTAAGCCAGTGTTAAAAGAGTTTCTCCTATCTCACTCCTTCTGCTCAGCTGAAGAATTTACATCATAATTATTTTGCTGTAATACTGTAGTTCCAAAAATCTGAAAATAGCTGTTATAAATATGCTTTTATATTTGTACTAGAAAACGTACTATATTTGTGCTATGACCTGTTCTGCATCCTTGGCTTAGACCTATGACTAATCTATGGAATGTAAATAAAGTCTATTCTATTCTATTCTATTCTAATCAGAAAGTCAGATATCTTAGGCATTACTACCAAATACAGGGTTACTTCCGTACACTAACTATGTGTAATTATATTATATTATTAAACCTAATAATTTCTTACCCTAGCTGAAGATTTATAACTCTCAATTTCGTTGAAACCCTCCGGTGGTTCAGTCCTGAAATTACGAACAGTGCAATACAGTTACTTACTAACTTTCAGCAATAAAATCGCAGATCATAAAAATTTCTTCTGAAACAATATTCTTTTGCCAACCTTCTTGAAGACTGGGTCCGCCTATTTGACAGTCTGCTTACCGATGACTTTCTACGAACCATTTTAGTAAAATTACAAAGTTTTGACAACTTGTCCGTATATTTGAATGATCCTTTAATCGTTAACCAACAAGTGTTGCCAACATTCAATTTTCCCAATTTTCCCAATCCTATATTCAATTTCCCCCTTTCGGATGTTCGTACCAAAGGACAAAATCTGCAGGAGAAAATGTTATATTAATAGACATTATTAGTATCTTGCCAGTTATACAATGAAGATTAGAACTTACTGTCACCTTTCCCCTTTCACCATAAGTTCACTTTCCAACTGAAATATATTTATAGTGCTATGAGTACTATCTAATCAACATTCACTAATTTGCCTGTTATTTTGTTATGAAGTGCGCCTAATGGTTTTGTAACAGAAATCCAGTTTCTTATTAGCAATACAAACCCAGATCAAACATATACATACGAGTTTTACCCTTTACCCTCTCTCCCAGCCTACATGCTCAGAAAATTCATCTCTATGATGCCATTCCCATCTCATTCTCTTTCCTGTCTCTTAGTGACAGCTACTGGAGAAGTTGAATGTTTTATTATGGCTTATGAGGCATGAACTACAGGTGACTTTTAAGTCAGTATCTGTATTTTTAGATAGTAATGCATTTTCAGTTTCCAAAGAATGCTTTTCTGAGACGAGAGAAGCATGGACTTCGATACTGTTTTAATTATGCGGGTTATGGTGTGTTGAGGGGAAAGTGCAGGAAGACACTTTGGAAAGGTAGAAATAAATACTGTATTCCATTAATGTTCTATCTCTGAATTTTCATATTTATCTATATATATATACACATTATTTTAGATCTAAGAGGGTGAACATAGACAAGAAATTGACATTACATTTCAATAGACGTATTAAATGTGGCATCCATATGCCTGGAAAATGCAACAGGA